TTAATTTTGCTCCATCCAAGCAAACCAGAAGAACTCTCCTTATTTTAAAAGAACATGAAAGTCCAAGCACATGGTTGGGATTTTTTTTTTTTTCACTAAGAAGCGAAAGAGCTGTTTTTCTAGATTATGAGAGACCACCCATGGAAAGATAAGGTCCCCTGGCAGCAGCTCCTGCTGGGTGCACCCCCAAATGCTGGTACCTGTCTCCACACTGCAAGAGTTTGTCTGAAGTGTGCTCAGATGAACCAAGTCAGGCAACTGGGCATAAGGTGTTTTTTTAAAAAGTGGGGAACACAGAAAACACGGAGTGAGGAGAAAGATGTAGGAAAAACAGCTCCTAGTCAAGCAATAAATGGATCTGAGGTGGAAGAGATTCCAAAGCAGTGTTCTGCAGAGAACAGACACAGCCACTGCTGTTGTGTCCTTCTCCACAGACCAGGGTGGAGCACACCCTCTTTCCATAGTCATCACTTTTCCTTGAGCTGCAGCAGAACAAAACTGACTCAGTTCTTCAGTCTCACAACAGCTTGCTGAGCTTCCAGTAAATGAAGTGAAAATTTAACAATTTTCATTCTTTTGTTGTTTGGGAAAGTACAAGAGACCATGGCATTGCTTGTAATACTGTTTAGTGACAGCTGCTTTTGTAGGAATGCAAAACACTTTTTAAGATGAAAGACAGGTTTTGCAGAGGTTTAATCCATGCTTGGAGAACACAACCTACAGATTCTACACAATCTACAGGGCTGAGAGGGACAGGAGAAGCACAGGCAAGAGATTCACTTCCAAGCTGGCCCTCATCCCCCTGGAGATGTGGTAACAGGTCAGCAACAGACCAGAACTTCACCTGGGTTCAACCACAACTCTTTTATGCAGCAGATGGGAGCACACAGCCGAGCCCAGCCATCAGAGCAGGGATTCTGAGACCGTATTCCACGGAAAGCAGGATGATCATATGATGCTGGGCTCACTTACATCCCAACAGTGAAGCACTCAGAGAGGTTTTAGCTGTTATTGGCTTACACTGGAGCCAAGGCACAGGGGACAGCCCAGGAGCACCTCGTGATCCCCACCACACTCCCAATCCCAGCTCTGCTGTGTTACATCACAGCTGGAGTAAAACTGGCCCAGGAGAGGCCAGAAGGAAAAGAAAAAAGGTTTGTTTGCATTCCAATGGCTTTCCCAGGGGCCACACGGCCCAGCTCTGCCCAGCTCTCCCCGTGACCACCATGACCACCAAGGGCTCAGCCTGTGCCAGGGCACTGGCCCCTGGGTGAAATCTCTCTTCTCTCAGCTCCATTCAGGCCTCATTCACCACTCAGAAAAGATTCTTCCCGAGGCATTTTATTACAAAAAAAAAGTCTTTAAAAATGCCCGTGGTTAACGAGCAGCTTGTCCTTTTGCAGACACAATGTGGGCATGTTCAAACCCGCCGCTGCCCCAGTGCAGACCCACAGCCCAACGGTGCCTCTTTATTCCTTTAAACACCACCCGGAGCAGGGCTCCAGCTGCTGGGGCATGAGGGGCATTTTCTGGGATGTTTCCTCATGGAAACAGCTGGTCCACACAAAAAATAAGCGTGTTATGTAAAAAGGACATCCTGGTGGCAGTGCTGAGGGGCAGAGACATCCCAAGCAATGAACTGAGTGACTCCAGAGGTACCACAGGACTTGGGACTCCCTGCGCACTCTCCTTCCACGGTTCTGCAAATATCCCGGGATATTTGTCACATCAGTCCATGTGAAAAGATGGGAATAGCAAAGTCCTGGTGTCTGGCTGCCAGAAGGTCCTTTGAAGTCTGTTCTCTTCTCTGAATGAATCCCATTGCTGCCCCAGCTCTCCCTGCTGCCCAAGGAGGCGGATCATCGTTTGGGAAACCACACAAAATTTGGGGGGTTTCCACAATGCCCAAAAAATGTACCTTTTTTTCTCCATTTGAGATTCACATTGAAATTAATTTTCCCTGTGCTGCTTTTTAAAAGAATATGTAACAAAGGCATCTTTTCAGCCAATGCTTGGTCTTCCAAAAACGTTCCAGAGCTTTTTTTCATGCCCAAAAGCAGCGGCCTCCAAATGCAATGCAGAGACAATGTGCGACCTCCAGCAGCATAGGGAAAAAATAAATCACTTAAAAACTAAAAAAGAACAAAGTATTTTTCTGTTAAGACTCTTTATTTGCAAATGTAACACCAAACCAAGGACATGGTGTTTTATCAATCTCCAGGGATTGCAAAGATTTCAGAGAAAAATATATCAGTATACTGAAGAGTCAGGAGGAAACACCTAAACAGAAGAAAGTAGCCTCCTCTGTAAGTGTAAACAAAATTCTCGTATTTCTTCTTGTACTTTTTCAATTCAAGAACTAATGAGGGGTTAAAAAGTGAGAAAAAAATGGGTTTTTGGAATTCATGGCGGGAAATGAAGAAAGGCAAGAGCAAAGTTCTACTATTTCTTAAGCACTTAAAAGAAACAGTAATGAGAAACAGCCAGTCCTAGGAAAAATCCTGCTTTTAAATAGAAAGTTTAATTTATTTATCAAAACATGCTTCTTCTATCTTCGTTTCAAACACTAAGCTTTTAATAGCTCTTTAATGTACATACTTTGGCTCTGGCTCTTTCTCCCCTCCCTGAAGAGACCTTCTAAAGAGATCTCAATTTCCATTTAAACAGAAGCAATCAATAATAAAATATGCCAGTAACATTAAAAAGTATTATGGTCCAAGAGCAAACCAAGAAATCTTTCACAGCCATTTTAAATTCTGCACTTACATATGTACAGGTAACACCTTCCTTGCTACCAGAAAAGTGCAAGTGAGTGAGTGGACACCAGTCAGCTTCTCTCAAAGTTTATTTAAAAGCCAACAAATGAGAATTAACGCAAGAAATAATTAGAAAGGAAAATTAATAAGGTGTCCTGCTTGCTGATTTCACTCACTGACACAAGTTTAACTTCAACACCTTTTGGCAAAGGCCAAGTGCAGGATGTGGGCACTGTGTCCATCCCAGTGGGGTTAATTCTGTGGGATTGGGTAAGAACTTTCCCAGATATGTTTGTGACAAGCCCCCTTCCTGGGCAGCTCCCACAGCAGGGCTGCAACAGGTGGGAACAGAGGATGCAGTTTCAGCTCAGGGTTCAACTCACAGGTACCACATACAGCCCTTCAAAGGCTCTGAGATCAGAACCATCCTTCCCTGCCTCATTCCCGTGGCGGCTCACCAGCAGCACCCACATGGCACATACCAAGGAAACCCATCCCAGCCCAAACTGCAGCCCTTCCAGAGCAACCACTGCTCCCTCCCCAAGCTGTCCCAGGGCAGCACAGCCACTGCCAGCTGTCACTGTGAGCTCAGGAACAAGGCCACCAACAGCGACCACAGGGACAACAAGACACTCACCCAGAACCTCCACTGCCCTGCACACAAAAATCTCCCATAGCTTACAGACCCCTATGAATGACCCAGCACAACCAGCAAAGGGAGACAGCTCCCTCAAACCCTGCCTGAAACCAGAAACAGACCATTCTACTCTAGCTATTACCTAGAAACTAGAGCCTGAAGGAGTTTAAATTCAATCCACTGTAGGTGGAGACCACAGCAGAGACACAAATGATACAAAAGTGGTTTTAAATCTCAGCCTTACACCAACCTGACAGCTGAGCCTGCTGGAAGCATTCGTCTCACACCAGCACACCTCTGGAATGAGTTAACTTTCCTCCTTCGACCTCTTGGGTCAGCACAGTGACACTGCCACACAGCCTGGTGTCCCAGCACAGTGAGGGCTCTGACACCTGTCATTAACACACCTCGATGTCCCCAGCACCACGAGGGCTCTGTCACCAGCTCCCACAGGCCAGAGGGAACAGCTGGAGCCCGCGCAACACTGCAGACTGAGGTCTGTTGAAATAAAACTTGCAACCAGTCACAGGTGATTGCCTTAGGCACCTGTTAAAAGTACTTTTCTATCCTCAACCACACTGCAGTCACACATGGCCAAGCCTCCACCTGTCGAGAAGAGCCTGCAAACTGCCCCACTAGTTGTGTACAATGGCATCGGGGTACTCCAACCCACCCGTGCTGAACACCCCCAGCATCACCACACAAAACAATTATATTCTTCCTCACAGTCAGTCCATAAATTTCCTGAAAGTCCATGGGAAGGACCAGCTACACTGAACGCTGCACCAAACACACTGCTGTCATTTCAGACCATTTCTGCTGAAATGCTGACACTCCTCATCACACCAGCACAGCTACAGCACAGCTACAAAGGGCTTGTGCAGCCTCCTTCACGTTAAATAATAATTGGATGCATGCTAATTGCCTTTCCTCCAGTGAACTGTCTGCATTCCCTTCCGATTTCCTGTAGCTACAAATATGATAATCAGGAGAACAAAGACTTTAGCACAGCCACTCGGGCACAGCAAATGCAGTGGAGTGTGTACGCCTGACTCCAGCAGCAGCAGCAGAAGGCAGACCTGCAGCCTTGCTGCTCTGAGCACCCCGAGCCCACCTTCAGGAGGTGTCAATAAAGACTCGTGTAAAATCGCACATCGGAGTGAAGTTTCTCACTGTAACTTCCCCGACAGTGCAGCCCCTTAGCAACGCGGCCGCTCTCAAACCAACCAATCCACCTTTAATTCCCACTTCCTCCCAAGCTCTCTGGACAGCAACTTCTGGCACTCCATCAGTCCCCTTTTATCCCAGTTTCTTTTTATAAATCCAAGGTCAGGTTTCCTCTCCCATCTCATGTGATGTGCTGGACTGAAGTTCTGCCAGCATGGTCGGTCCCCTCGGCTGCCAAACCCTCTCCTACGCTCCCCTCAGCCTGTCCCGCCGCCCACCGGGCATCTCCCCGGCTCCAGCAATAACCAAGTGGGAAGCACTAACTCTCCCAGCGACGCTGAATTACGCCTATTAAAACTAAAGCCCCGCTGGAAACGAGTCCCCCACCCCGGGCGGCTCGGGGGTCCCGGGCCCGGCCTCGCCCCCGGCCCGGCCCTCACCTCCTCCTCGCTCTCGCTGCGGAAGCACAGGCAGGCCGCCCGCTTCTTGTAGCCGTCCCCGTCGTAGGTGCGCGTCTGGTTGGACTTGAGCTTCATCATCCTCCGCTCCGGGGGCGGCGGGGCCGGAGAACGCGCGGTCCGCAGGGCGGGGGCGGGCGGGACCCGCCGGGCGGCGAAGGACGGGGGGGCGCGGGGGGACCGCCTGCCCGCGACAGTCTCTCTCTGGGTCTCGCTTCGTGGGTCTCGCTACGCGCTGCCGCCTTTCGCCCGCCTCACCCCTGCCCTCGCTCCCGGCCGCGCCGCCGCCACCGCCCGCGCTCCGGCCACCGCCGACGACGACCGCGCCGCCATCTTGGGGCTCGCTACGCAAACGGCGTAGCGCCGCCGGGCGGAGAGGCGACGCTGCCCCCGGGGCCTCACGGCACGCCCGCTACGCAAAGTGCGCAGCGCGGCTTCCAGAATGGCTCCCCCCGCGTAGGCGGTGCCGCCACGCCCCCGCCCCGGCTCGCGCGCTCTGCGCCATTGGCGGATGCCGCGTTCGGGAATAGGACGGGCGGCGCGGGGTGGCGGCGGCGGGCGCTCGGCCTTACGCGAACGGCGCAGGGGCCGGCGGCGCGCACGTGGCCCCGCTGTGACAGCGGCTCCGCGGGGACAGCAGCGTCCGCTCTGCGCCGCGCGGGGGCGCTGCGGCACGGCGCCAGGCCCCACCCCTCGGTGACACCGCGGGTCCGTGACCATCCCCCCCAGTGACATTCCGTGTGCTCACCCCCGCCCTGACACCGCGGGTCGGTGTCCGTGTGTCCGCTCCCCCCGCCGGTGACACCGCGGCCATGGCGGGTCCGTTACCGATCAGTCACCGGCTGCCGAGCGGCACCTGGCGGCGGCCGGTGGCCACTGCCCAGGTGCTGCCGCCAGGCTCACCCTCAGTCCCCAAGTGCCAGCGCAGGTGACAGCGCAGCGGTGACACGGGGACCCGCCCACGCGAGCTGTGTCCCGATCAGCGGGACATGGGCTGGCACAGCTGAGTTTTCCATCTGCAGAACAGCTCAGTCCCAGCCCAGCCCTGCTGCATCGCTGGCAATCAGCATCGCCCTGGGCAGATGGGAAATGCTCCCGCATTCCTCCAGGACTCACCTCCACACCCCCTAAACTTGGAGAGTTCCTTCACTAGAACCTGTATTTAGTCACTCCCAAAGTGCTACTCCAGATGCTGAAGATGTGAGTCACGCTGTGCTTCGTGAGCTCTGTGCACTTCAGAGAGACACAGGCATGAACCCAGTGGCATTTTCACCTCTTTTATTATACACAAAACATGAAGTTCTACTGTGGGGGCTGACCACGTCCACGACCAAATCCACCTCTCTGCAACAGCAAAAGGAGAGTGTCAGAAATCATTGTGTTAAGCAATGACAGCAAGAACAAACGTCATCAAAGCTCTGTGATGGCACAGGTCAGCCAGCTGCTGCAACATCAACCCTTTCCAGCCAGCTCTGTGGACCACACCTAAAATACTTTTGTTTTTGAAGTATAAAATCATGGATCTCCAAAGAGCTCAGCTTGCTCTCAAACCTGTTATTGCTCTCTGTCCCACCACATCCCTTCCCTACAGCAAGCAAGCTGTGTGTGAAGGGTGACAGTTTCCAGCCTCTCTGACACCCTCAGAGTCCCCACAGGCAGGACCTTCCAATTTCTCCCATCAAAGCCTTCAACAAAGGAAGCCAAGTTCCAATGCAGATACTCACGAACTGGAATTCTGTGGCTGCTCCAGCACCAGCCTCAGCCTTCTTGTCAGCACCAGCTGCAGAGAGAGGAGCAGTCAGTGCCCTCAGAACCCCCTGCCCAGCACAGTGCTCCTGCCTGAGAGCAAAGCTTTAACCATCACACGCAATTAACACTGGGGCTGAACACAGCAAAGCAAAACAGCTGTAACTGAGCACGTTTGAGAGTTACTGAACCAGCCCCAAAGAAAATCCCACACCTCAGCTGGACAAAACTCCAGAAAAATCTCCCATCCACCCGCACATACAGACTCTAAGCTATGCCAAGAGTTTCATCTCCCCCTTTTCTCCTTGAGAGGAGCCCTAGAGCTGGGACAAGTGTCCCCAAGAGGGCAGGGGGGAGGCACACTCACGTGGCACGGCGCTGCGGCGGTATGTGTCCCGGTCAGCCTCACCCCGCGTGAGCCGCGCTGGGCGCTCGCCCTCCAGACCTGAAACACAGAGCAGAGCTTCAAATGCTGCTCAGCCAGGGCACAAACAGCTCCTTCCTGCACCCTGAAGTGCAGAACAGCATCAGGTCTGCCAGCAGTGCTGTGCCTGGGGCAGCTCAGGGAGAATAAACCTAAGGAAAACAGTGATTTAGTAAGGGAAGTCTCCCTTTACGGTGACTTTAGTCTCACTTTAAGGGTGAAATCTGCTCAAGTGTCCCAGCTTGTGGCAGGGTGGAAGTTAAATAACGTGAGAAGTGGCTTTACAGCATCATCTTAACAGACTTCTGGTCATCAAACTAGTGCTGAACATTTTGTTGATAAAAATCCCAGAAATACTGGGAATTTGCCATGTCCAACAATCCTGTTAACAGCTGAGTCACAAACTGCAAGACAGAATTCTGACCCCAACCTGAAACAGCCACACTGTCAGTACCCCAAATCCCCCCACAGTACACATTCATGACAGTAAAAGCAGATTATCTGTGGAAACTGAGATCAATACCAGACAAAATTCCTGCAGGAACACCCAGCCGTGGTGGGACCCACCATCTCAGGGATTGGGATGTGTCCTTGGAGCCCAAGCTGGGGTCTGCCCACCCAGGCAGGATCCAGTGAGGGGCAGCTGTGCCTGGCACACCCCAGTGTCCTCCTGCACACGCACTGGTTTGGCCATACAAATCCCAGTTTTGTAATAATTCTTTTACTACACCACCTCAGTGCCTCCCAGGTTGCTGCAGCCTCAGGCAGGTCATCCATAGCAAAAAAGAGCACCAAGTGCAGCCCTTCCAAATATTCCTGCCCAAAAGGGTCTGAGGAGGGTTCCAACACCAGAACAAGGCTGTGACACCACACACAGCTCCTCCTGCACAAGTCCCAGCCAGAAGCTGCCACCCCTCCCTCCCAGCAGGGATGCAGCTCCTTTAGCTCACTGGATAAACACAGCATCTAAAGAACAAATCTTGGAACATCCAAGCAACTCAGAAATCAAAGAAAGCAGCGTCTTCCCAGTTTCTCTGCAATTCCTTCCTTTGAAGCAGATGATGCTCCCGTTTTGTTTGGCTCTGGGCTGCTCAAACTGCAGCAGCTGGGGGTGAACTCCCAGCATCCCCTGGCCCCAGCCCTGGCCCCTGATGTGGTTCAGACACAAAAAAGCACAATCCATGTAAGCCCCCAGAGCCAGAGTACATCTGGCTGCACCCCCTGCACTCTGGGATGTGAAAACCCACCAAGGGAAAAATCAGTGCTGCAAGTCCAACATGCAGAATCACAGAGCAGCTGGGCGCTGATCTGGAGATCATCCAGTTCAACCCCTCTCAAGGCAGGGTCACTCGGAACAGGTGACACAGGAACACGTTCAGGTGGGTTTGGAATGTGTCCATGCAGGGAGACTCCACACCCTCCCTGGGCAGCTGTTCCAGTGCTCTGCCACCCACATGGAAAGTTCTACCTCATGTTGAGGTGGAACTTGGTGTATTTTAGTTTCTGGCCACTGCTCCTTGTCCTGTCATTGGGCACCACTGAGCAGAGTCCGGCAACATCCTCTGGTACATCCCCTGGGGATATTTGTGGATATTTGTCTCCTCCAGACTAACCAGGCCCAGTTCCCTCAGTCTCTCCTCACAGAGATGCTCCAAAACACCTCAGCATTTTTGTGGGCTCTGCTGCTCCTCCAACACGGGTTTGCAATTAACCTTTGACATCAAGCCCTGTTCCAGCATCACATTCAGCATCCGTGGGGAAGGCAGAGTGGGACATCCAACCTGGCCACAGGTGATCCCCAGGTGGGGCTCCAACACATCCCAATCTCAGCAGGCATGCTCCCAGCAATCCCAGTCCCTGGGGAAGGCCAATCCCCACTCAGAGCATGTCCCTGTGGGTCCCAACTCTCCCCATCCCTCTCAGGGGACACCAGTCCACACCAGCTACAAAAGCCACAAATCCCAACCCCATTTCCTTGCTCTGTTCACAATTTTACACCCAATCCAAACAGATCTGGCACTGTCCTGACTTGCCCAGCTCCCCTGTGGCCCAGCTTACCTTTGGGCCGGGGCCTGCCGGTCTCGGGGCGGCTCCGGCGCAGCGTGGCCGGGACAATCTCAGGGGGCAGGTGGAGATAATCCCGCAGGTACTGGATGCCCTCGTTGGTCAGGTACCAGTAGAAGTGTCTCCAGGCAAACTGCTCCTTCACGTACCCTCGGGACTTGAGGGACTGCAGGGAGAGCTCCCAGTTACTCCCAATTATGGGTGAGCCTCTCCCAGTTCACAAGCACTGGGGGTCAGCAGGGCACTGAGGAATGGGGACATGGGGACGGGGAACAATTCACATGCACGGGACATAATACAGCACCACCCCAGAGAGCAACACCTTCAAGTGCCCCCAAGCCCTCCCACCTGCATGGCTTTCATGACGTGCAGGTTGGGCACATTCTTGTCCACGAGCTCGGGGTGTTTGGGCATGTGCACGTCCTTCTTGGCCACCATCACCCCCTCCTTGAACAGCAGCTCATAGATGGCGATTCGGTTCTTCTTGGGCATCAACATCTGCAGAAGGCACAGGAAACAGGGCTCGGTGACATCTAGGCACCACCATCTGCACGGGGGACAGTGAACCCTGCTGGGTAACCCCAGTGCCCCCCGAGCTGCCCTGTCACGCGGTTCCCACCGGGCCGCTCTACCTCGCTGCTTCCTGGCAGGGAAAAGGGAGCAGTCCCAGCTTTTGCTCCTTGAAAGCACCGGCCCCGCCCGGTGTCGGTCACAGCGGGACACCGGGCACAGCTGGGGCAGGGCCGCAGCTCGCGGGGGGCCTGTCCCGGTCCCGCCACGGACACCATTACTGCTGCCGTTAAGTCAAACTGAAGTCGGGAACCGGGAGCAGCGGGTGCCTCCCGCCCCTCCGGTGCGGACCCCGGCAGCGCCTCGGGACGGGAACACGGCTACGGGCGGCGCTCCAGGACCCGCCGGGCCCTGGGCTCGCTGGGCTCCCCGTGCTCCGCCATGACTGAACCCCCGCGGATCACGGGCTACTCCCGCGACAACTCCCGAGGCGGGAGGTCCCGGTGCTAGCGCTGGGCCTCCGGTATCACCCCGCGGCCAGGCGCCCCCAGTCCCTCCCTCCCAGCACAGCCAGGCCCGGAGCCCCGATAGCGGAGATGCCCCGCAGGGGGGTCCAGGCCCCGGGATGGCGGCGATGCAGGGCCGATGGCCCGAGCGCGGCCTCACCGTGGCGGCGGCGGCGGGGCCCGAGCGGAAAAGACTGCGCGTGCGCCGCGCCGCCGCTTCCGCCGCTCGAAAGTCCCCCGGCGGCGGGGCTGGCCGCGGCGCTGCCTGTGCGGAGCGCAGGCCCCTTCCCGCCTGGGAGCGGGCAGCTCCGCAGTGCCTGATGGGCTCAGCAGGGGAGCCCCGCGCCCCACACCGTGTCACCCCCAGCTGCGACATCCCCCCATGTCCCCAGCCGTGTCACCCGCGGCTCCCCGCGGCGCCCGCTGTCCTTCGCAGCGGGACTGTAAAGCCCTGCCCGGGATTCCCGGAGAGCCGCGGGTCCCACCCCGAGCCAAGGGCTCGAGGCTCCCGGAGGCACCGAAGGGCTCTGCTCCCCAGAACACCCGCCCGGGAGCCGCGACTCCCCTGACCCCCGTCTGGGAACTCTCGTTCCGCGGGGGATGGGACTGGAGCCGTGTCCCCTTGGGCACACCCCGTGTCGCCCCTGCCCAGCCCGGGGCTCTCCCGCCCCGTTTGGGGGTTTGAACCCTCCGGGAGCGACAGGAGCGGGATCCGCGGGGAAGGGGAGACGTCCCCGCTCCCCCCCTACACACCGCGGGCACTCGGCACATGGCACCCCCGGAGCAGCGCCGGGTGGGGACAGCAAGAGGGGCAGGGGGAGACCCGCGACCCCTGGGGCTCATTGCCATCTTCTCCGCGGCCGCGTTGTCACCTTGCGCGGCCGAGGAGCCGCCGCGCCGGGCCGGGGATTGGTCGGCTAAAAATGCCGCCCTAATCTCCGAGCTGATCTTTACCCCCTCCCTCCGCCCCATCTGCCGCGACCTGCCCGCGATGCGCAGCGCCGGCCCCGGGAGAGGCTCTGCCGCTGTCCCCGCGGCCCCGAGGTACGGCCGGCGGGGCGGGCCGGGGGCGGCGGGGGGCGGAGGGCTGGCCCCGGGGTGCAGAGGGAATGCCGGGGATCGGGGCGCTGTGACAGCGCTGTTGCCTCCGGTGTTTGAACCTGGTCCGCGCCCTGCGCTAGGAAACGAAACCGCACTCGACCCGTTTTAAGTGATTTCCAACTTGTGCCGGACCGTGCCGGGTGAGGAACGGGAGGGATCGAGGGATGCGCCGCATTCCTGGAGCTGCCCGGTGCCATGCTGGGGCTTTGCTACCGTGTCATCCCCTCCTTTCTTCCTTTCGGGGGCAGCATGGACGGAGCTGGGGCGAAGCTCCTACAGGGTGACCCCCAGGATGCTGCGACCATTGCGGCATCCCCTGGGAGAAACGCCCAGCCCGGCTCGTCCCGCGGAGCAGGAGCTGTCCCTGCCCGCCTGGCCCCGACATGCTGCCCACGGACACTGTCCCTGTCGCTGTCCCTGCCTCGGCTGCATCTCCTCCTCACAGCTCCTGCAGCTCCTGCCTTGGAAATGGCAAAGCAAGTGCTTTGCTAAACGGATTAGAGCTTTCCCGGCAGCCTCCCTGGCTGCTCCCGCATCCCTCGGCCCCCTTGTCGCCTTCCCCGGGCAAACCCCCATCCCTAAGCCAAAAGTCCGGGTCGAGGCCGTGGCCGCAGCACAGCAGAGATTAGGCACTGCGGCTCCCAACATGCCTGACCCCGAAACCCTGGCTGAAGCCCTGAGGGTCCTTCCCTGGGGTTTTGTGTTCCCTTTGCAGGAGCTCAGGGAAAATTGGGGAATTCACCAGGCAGCGGCTCGGCCGGTGCTGGAGGTGCTGCTCTGCCCCAGGGTCTGCACTGATCTGAGCGCCCCTGGCCGCTTTCTCTCCCTCCCCTCCGTCCCCTCCCAGGGTGTGTGGCCGCCGGAGGGCCTGCGGCAGGACGGGAGCGGGATTTAACCATGAAAGGATTGAGAGAAGAGAGACAGGCACTGGCAGGGCTCAACAGTGACGTGCACAGCGCAGGGCGAGAAGGGAAGGGACATCAGCAAAGAACATCAGCACCAACCAGGGCCACGTCCTGAGCCCAAAGCCTGGGCTGGGCCCTGTGTGGGATCCCCCTTGCTGGGAACGCCCCGTGCCCAGCTGTGCTGGTCCCTGCCAGGGCAGGATGGCACGGGGATGGAGCCAGGCACTTCCAGCACAACCCTGGCACGGCTCTGCCCGGGGACAGACTTTGTCCCAGGGGTGCCAGCTTGGCCAGCGTTTGTGCAACACCTTGAAGGCAAACTCCGGACCTGCTGAGCTCCTGTGGATGATCCTAGAGGAGGAGAGGCCGCATCTAGCTTGCAGGGGCAGCCAAGGCAGTGTCCAGCTGCCCTTGGTGTGGCACAGCGTGGGGGCAGCGAGCCCCAGCAACACTGTGGCTGTGGGTGAAATGTGCAGGCTCCTCAGGCAGCTGCCTGCAGCCAGCTCCACACTGCTTCCCAGGAAAAATGGAGCCTTTATGTCCCGGCCCCAGCCCCTTCCCCGGAAGGGCTCGGAGGATGCCCCGGCCGGTCACAGGCAGACAAGAAGGGGATTGTTTCGGTGGGATTTGGGTTTCTGGGAGCACCTGCCCCGCCCGGGGCCCTCCACAATGGCTGCCTGTCTGCCGCAGAGCCGCCAATTATCCTCCGCGGCTAATTAGAGATGCAAAGTCGCGCTTGCATTCTCCCAGCTCCCCGGAGGGCTCCTGGGACCGGCGGCACATCCGCAGCGGCAACGCAGCCCGGGCACGGGGCGAGCGTGGGGCACTGGCCCCATCCGGCCTCTCAAGCCCCAGCTCCCACTCCACTCTGGGAAGAGGCAGTGGAGGACAAGAATGGGCTCGGGATGCCTGGGATGCCCTCTGTTCCATGCACACCAGTCTTCCCTGGACCACCCATGGGCCCTCCCATTGCTCCCAGAAACAGCTGAGCCTCATAACTCGGGGCTCTGCCGGGATTTAGGGAACACATTTTCATTCCTTGCCGGGGAGGCAGACAGGAGCTGGCTGTGCTTGAAACCCCCCAGTTCGTGCGAAGGCTGGCACTCCTGCCTGGGTGATGGGCAGGCAGCTGATCCCTGGTGGCATCTCTTCATTCCTGCCTGCTCTGGCTCCAGCAGCCACTGGGATCACAGTGTGGGCTCATGTGCCCCAGCTTCTCTGTTTGTGCTCCCTGAGCTGTAATTCCAGAGCGGCAAGTGGCCCCATAAATCAGAGCTTATTTCCTGCCAATACCGTCTGCTGCTTCCCACAAGGAAAGTCATCTACAGGAGAAGTGACTTACCACTGAAAACAGTAAACGGTGGGATGGTGAGAGCCGGAGAAAAGTTTGTCGTGACCGAATTTTTGGTGAAGGAACCGAGGAGGCAGAGTTCCCACCTGCTCCCTGCATGGAACAGCCCAAGCTGCAGAGAAGGGGACCTGAGCTGGTGCCACCCACACAGACCACAACACGGGTGGCAACAGCTCTTTGCACTGGGGAATCCCCCCCAAGTCATTGAGGTCCCCCCATCACCATCCTGGAGAGCATTTGTCACTTAATGTTTAACGCCAAGGACATTTTCCCCTCTGCAGCAGGGATGCTGTCAGGGCAGGTGGCAGCTGGGCATCCCAGCAGTGCCTGCAGTGCCCCTGTTCTGGGAACTGCCGCCTCACTGCACGAAAGGACCATGAGCAGTTATTCAGCACCCTCTGGCTCCTCACCCTGAAACGCCAACAGGCAGATTCCCCATCCTGAAGGAACCACCATCCATCCCACTCTTGTTCGGGATTGGGGGCATTAAATCACTGGGATCTCAGCTAAGCTACAGCTGTGAAACCTTCCGGGGGCTTTTCTGTCTGGCCATGAGGTGGGCTGGCTCGGGTGGCACGGAGCTGGAAGGAGCCGGAAGGCAGGCGGGCTGGAGAGCCCCACCGAGCTTCATTAGGCAGTCGAAGGCGCTTGTTAGGGGAAAGCTGAGCCGGCGTCGGAGGCCGGCAGAGCCCCCCGGGACCGGGTCGCATTCTCTGGGCAACCCGATCCCGGCGACAGCGGCGCCGGCAGCCTCATTACTGCAGCCTCTGCAGCGGCTTCGGTTACTCGCCTGGACGCTCTCGTCTCCTGCTGGCTTTTAATTTCCCTGACAACCCCCGCGAGCGGGGGGATGCAGGCGCAGTGTCGGGGAGCCTGTCATCACCCCCACCCGCATCCTGCCTACTTCCCGACGGCTTCCAGCCCCCTCTGCCCCCGGGACTCCCATCCCATAACAAGCCCCGGCGACCCCGGGCATGAGCCCCGGGGCTCGGGAGGAGGCAGATGGGCAGATGGCGTTGAGGGGGAGCTGCCCTGCTCTCCTCCAAGAAGCCTTTGAGGGTGCAGTCCCCTCACCCCCTTCCCCAGCCCTGCCGGGGGGAAAAGACTGTTCCTGATTCTCTTGCCAGCCTGTTCCCAGCTGGCACATTTGGCAAGGAGGCGGCACCGGCTGCCTCTCCGAAGGCGTTTTGGGGTGTTTATTCCTGCAAAAGCTGTGGCTCAGCCCCAAAACCCCCCTGCAGCCGCGGGGGTGACAGAGAGGCCGGGGCAGCAGCGGAAGAAGTGCGTGGCTCTGTCCTGTCCTGTGCAGGAGGGACAGCGACCCCCGGGGTAGCAGGACCAGGAACCCTGGGGGGGGGGTCCCCAAAGAGCCCCCCGCCCCATGGCCCGGGGACAACGAGTCCGATTAGGCCCTAACGGAGCCCGAGGCCCGACCCGCCATAGCCCGGCCGTGGTGCCCACCCCCCCCGGGCCGTGCCCGCGGTCCCCGCAGTGGGGCGGCCCCGGTGGGTACCCTGGGCGAGGGTCTGGGGCCGGCGGGTCCTGCTGGGGCAGGGGGCAGTGCGGAACCTCGGGGTGGGCGTGGACGCGGAGATTGGGGAGTGGGGTCCGTTCCCCCCTCCCCCCATCCCCCCCCC